GCCTCGCCTGGGCCTCTGATCGACGTCACCAACCTCCCGACGCCTCGGAAGTTCCTGGACGCCTCCCAGTACTCTGTCCCTGGCAGTTCCAGTGGTAAGGGTTACGCGGCTCCCTGACTCGCTTTCTGGGGGGAACAGGGACCTGGAAGGGCCAAGGGGAGTTGGTCCTGAGCCAAGGCGTGGAGCTCTGCTGAGTCTCTCCTGTCTGAGGGTGTGGTCTTGGAGGGGACAGGCTCAACACTGATGGTGGACCTGCTCCATCCTCCAGACCAAAGGGCGTCTTGGCTCCAGCTGTCACTGGTTTTACCTGTTGGTTTTGAACTCGGAGTTGGAAGGCTTTGGGCTGGATCGCCTGCTCGCTCATTTTTGTTGTCTCTGTTGCTCCCAGCATTTTCACCTAGAAGCTTCCAGAAGCATAACCTGAGCCTAGCCATGCTGCATTTTGCATGCATGCTTCCTTTGTGCTTTCCGGGAGCCCCTCCCCATGGTGGCCATCTCTCCCTACCCTTACTGCCTGGGACTTGGTTAGAGGTGTTTTCCTGGGATCCAGAGGACAGGCACACAGTTCAAAACCAAACACAGAACTTTAACATGCAAGGACAAGATACAAGTGTTGTACCCTCAACCCACACCCCCATATATGTACCTGCTTGGGCGAAAGAGTCACAGTCTAGGTAGTCTTCTTCCAACACCAAACTCACTGCTGCTCAAGCCGATGCCACTCATAGCCACCCTATAGGCCGCGTAGACACCGCTCCTTGCGGGTGTCCCGCTCCTTGCGGGTGTCTGGGCCTGACACTGGATGGGCGTAGAAAGCTGTGACTCACCTGAGGAGCGGCTGATAGTTTCGAAATGCTGGCCTTGGAGTAAGCAGCCCAACGTGCCTAATCTGGGAAGACGGAGACCCAGGAAAGCCATTCTGAGGCCAGTGTAAGGTGGGCAGGGAGCAGAGGTTGGTGGCTCAGGCCCAGCTGTGCCTGGAAAGCCTGTGGCCTGTGGCTGGGGAGAAGGAGCAGGGAGCGTTTAGTGGGATGAATGCAGGGTCCTTGTTTGTGCCCTGCAAGGCCCTCAAGCCTTGAATGAAATCAGAGGATCTGCCATCGTGGGCTCTTCAGATCTGCATTTAAATGTAGTTTTTAAGCTTGAAATAATGGAAAGGTAGAAAACTAGTTGGGGCTCCATTCACTTTGGGCAGCTAATTGAAAAGGGTTTCTTTTGAGAGTGTAGCAGTGTATTGTTGCTGAAGCATATTTAATTAACATTTTAAGATGTCATTGAAATGAAAAATTTTTAGCAGTATTTAGGCCTGAAATGGGGCAGTTTGTGACTTTTGCTGTAGGAAAATATAGGGATTGCTTTATAATACAGTTTCCTTTGATCAGTCTGCGGATTAAAAAAAATCCCTAATACACGTTCTCCTTCCAGTAACTTGACAAAGGTTTGTACTGTAGCCTCTTCCTGAGCTAGACAAGCTTTTGTTGTCCCCGGCTTTCTTTCTTTCTCTCTTTCTTAATTAAAAGGTCATTTTATTGGGGGCTTTTACAGATCTTATAACAGTCCATGCATCAGTAATATCAAGCACATTTGTACATATGTTGCCATCATCATTTTCAAAGCATTTCCTTTCTATTTGAGCCCTTAGTATCAGTTCCTCTTTTTTCCCTCCCTCCCCCCCTTGTGACCCCTTGATAAATGAAATTATTATTATTTTCATATCTTACACCGACCACTGTCTCCCTTACCTCATGGTTTCTGTTCATCCCCTGGGGGTGGGATTGGGGATGGTGGTTATGTCAATCAATTCAATCGGTACCCCCTGCCTCCCCTTCTCTCCCCACCTTCCCCCACCTTCCTGGTACACTGCTACTCCCGTTCCTGGTCCTGGATTCCATGTGTCTTGACCTTTTCTCTTGTATCTGTACCTGTGCACATGCTCTGGTCTAGTCCACAGTGAAAGTCAGGACTGGGGTCAGGAATCTGTACCTGTGCACATGCTCTGGTCTAGTCCACAGGGAAAGTCAGCACTGGGGTCATGATAGTGGGAGGTGAGGAAGCTTTAAGGAACCAGAGGAATATTCTGTGTTTCATCAGTGCTATACCTCGCCTTGGTTGACTCATGGCTTCCTTGTGACCTTTCTTTGAGGGGATGTCCCATTGTCTATAGAGAGGTTTTGGGTCTCTGCTTCGACCCCACCTTGTTCTCAAATGTATGTTTTTGTTTTTCATTTGTTTGTTTTAGGTCTTCTAATGCCTGTTACCTGATCCCATGGACACCTCTTGATCACACAGGCTGGTGTGCCTTCCATGTGGGCTTTGTTGCTTAC